CGCTTACTGATCTGCATCTCATCTCGGGCTATGGCTCTCAGTGCACTAATAGACCTTAATGGTGCTGACGAGCTTCACCTGGGGCCTCCACCCACACCCTCCACCCGTGGGCCCAGGCACTCCATTTAAGCTCTGCCCAGGGTCTTTAGTCTTAGTTTGAGCTGTAGGAGCACAGGTCTTCAGCTCAGCTACAGCCATACTCAGCTATGGACCCTGGTGCTCCTGACTTACAGACTGATTTTTCTAGCTTGATACTGGACCTGCCTTGTCACTGTGGATCTGCCTGGCAATCTCTGGGCCTGACCCTGATACGTGGACCAACTTCCTAGCTTGGCCTTGGACCTGCCTCGTGACCGCAAACTTGCCTGATGATCTGGGCTCTTGGTTGAATCTGGCCGCCATCTCTAGACCTGCCCTGCTTTCTTGGTGTGGTGGAGCCTTGGCTGGTGAGGCCCCTGCCCTGCCAGCTGCGTTATCCCCCCGTAGCTCCTGGTCCAGTGGCCTCTGCTGCTCCCTGACAAATTCCCACCACAAATGCCGTTGCCTACTTTTAATCTCTACTTAAGCACTATTCCTATGTGCAGCTGTGATGTCCTACTTCTGAACTTCATGCATGTAAGTGCTGAGAGAAGCAGGCCACAGCCAGGCGATCTCACTGTTTTAGCTTCTGCTTTGCTTTGGAGCCTGGTGGGATTTCCTCTTCTCTTGTAAGCTCTGGAGGGAGTCGTGCTGTAGCAGTGGCATCCCTTTGGATCTCTGATATCCTGTATCTTGATTTTAGGCTTGCAGTTCCAGGAATAACATCCTGGGCCACTGAACTTGCTTTCATTTCTTGGGGGCATGAAATTCCTAAGCCCCCTGTCAAACACACGTTTGGATTTATCCCATTGCCTCAGAAGCCTATGCTGGGAAAGTGAAACGTAGGCTCTAGCCTTTTGCTGCTGTTGGGCGAGAGCTGCGTTAACTCCCTTCTTTCGTGCTGACCCTCCTCAGGCACGGATGTGTGTGAGTCATAGGCTGGACTTCTCATGTCTTGGTGGAAGCTAAGAGAGAGGGTGGGGTGATATTTGGGCTGGAAAAATCTTAAAACAAATGATTTGTTCCAAGTATGTCTGGGAAAGGAGAAAAGCCAAGGGATGATTTTTATATTTGAAACTCTAGCTTTTAAAACTCTATTTATTTTGTGTTGAAAATTGAATGGAGGACCCACTTGAAAGTATTCCCCTGGTGATCTTGCCTGGCAAAATTAAAGAAGAAGCAATATGCTGTTATCATAGGATGCTTCTCAGCAGAGATGCTGCTGGCAGGAAAGGCAGATTCATTACCTCGTATCCCCTCACAAACCAGTGGGCAATCCCTGCCCCAGAATTGAATCCATGCAGACTGGAAGGAGGGGCACCATCACGGTGGTGTGGGGCTCAGCGCACGAACAACAGGAGCAAGGCAGAGGAGCATTGACAGAACAAGAAATGAATTTATGTGGCCTGTCTTCCTCGTGCATGCTGTTCTCCTGTTCTGATACAGGTATACTTAAAATTCCACATAGAAATGTCCCTGTACCACAGGCATAGGAATACTGCTTATGTGATCACCATGAGTTCAATTCCTTCTCAGTAAACAGCTTCAGTAAGGAGCAGTTTTATGAGCTCTGATTTTTAGAGCTGGACTGAATCCTTAGTTAATTCTTCTTCCTAGGCAGCCTGAGAACGAGCCCATGCTGTGGCAGGAGAAGAGCATTGCACACAGGCCTGGAAGCGCCCTGCTGGGACACTGCCTCCCTGTTCTAGGCAGAGACCTTCTGTAAATGGTTCACTTGCTCTGTTCAAAGCATCTGTCCTTTTTCCAGCCAGATGCTGGTGTGTGGAGCCTTTCTGACCACTGCAGAAGGGCGAGGGCAGTATCCTACTCCCAGGGTAATCTGCCTGGCCTGGGACCTTGCTCAGTTTGTCCTGCGTACTGAGTGCTCAGCGGATTTTTGCTTTCTTCTTTCGATGCAGTACCCTAGGGCACCAGCTAGGAGCTGATTTTTCCAGGCAGGAATGGTAAGGTGGATGTAGGTGCTCCACGCTAGCACTGCCTGGTGTGGTGTGTGCTTGTCATCACACCACAGGGAACAGCCTGTATTTCTGTGAAGCCCTTCAGTCACACTGGTTCCCATCCACATCGTAGCTTTGTGCAGCCCAGATTTGCTATTTATCAAGCTGAGGAAGCCCCGTTCCTTAGCTGTGTGGTTTGATTTTTATGTACCCAGGAATTCGTTCTTCCCTGGAGTGTTGCAATGCACTCGTCTGCAGTCCTGAGTACAACATGATAGTGTCCCTTCCTTTCCCTGATCCTAAGCAAATGTGTCATCCTGGCAGAAACCAATGATGGAAAGTTTCCAGATGTAGGTGCAGGTGGGAACCAGGTGGCTTTCTTGCTGCCCTATCCCTGCATGGTATCATGAGCAGAGGAAAGCGTTGTCAATGCCCAAACATCACTTGGGGAAGCTGCTCCATGGGAAAAGTCGCAGGCCAATGCCTCTTGGAGTGAGCAAATGGATGCCAAGAGCAGTAAATAATTTACATTGGTAAAAACACAAACCTGGGTGGTCTTGGGGTTTTCTTTCTTTCCCCCTTGCTTTGCATCTGTTCATATTTAGAGGTCGTTCATGGCTGTTTATACTCAGCTAGCCCTGGCATGTTTCTTGCTTTGTCCTTGGCTGCAGCAATACGCATAATGAATGTGTTTGAGGCTCTGCAGCCAGCGCTGCTGTTTCTACGCAGAGTGCTTTGCATTCTGTTTGGATAGTACACCTGTGTAGTGTCAAAAGCATGGCTTGCTTATCTCCTAGTGGGAGATGTTAGGTAGATGTTAGACATCTGTGTCTGTGTGAATCTGTTGGCACTGGAAGGAAAGGTCAGGAACGAACCAGAGTGGTTTTGCTAGTAGATTACTGCGGGGTGTGAGAAGGTTAAAGCTTGCGACCACGTCAGAGCGTGTGTGACATGTCAGATCTCTGCAGTGCCTGCCAAGATCTTAGTGTCGTGGGCAGAGTACTGCTCAGGCTGGGAACGCAGATCATGCTCCAGGGTGGGGAGGTGTTTTTAGTTTTGTTCTTGTATCTCACTATCCTCTATTTTTAATTGGCAATTTATTAAGTCAGTCTTCCCCAAGTCAAATCTGTTTTGCCCGTGATGGTAACTGGTGAGTGATCTCCTTGTACTTATCTCAACCCATGAACTTTTTCATCTGATTTCCTCCCCTTGTCTTGCTGAGGAGGGGTGGTGAAAGGGTGGCTTGGTGGGCACCTGGCAGCCAGGCAAGCTGAACCCGCCACCTCCTCACAAAAAGCTGCTGCTTTAGGCAATGCCAGCTCTTTTGCACTGTAAATGGTCTGATATGATTACTATTCCTGCCTCTTGGAAAAGGCCAGGAGACCCAGAGGTGCTCACCACTTCTGGGTCTTGCCTGAACTGTGTAGTGAAGCAGAGAAGGTGGCCAGAAAAGGAAAGGAGAGATGGTGGGTGGGGTGTCAAGGGAAGCTGCCCAAAAAACTCCCACTGGAAATCCAAGCTTGCCACAAAGAGGAAGGGAAAAAAGCAAACTGGAGAAAGATGTTTGTTTTAATCCAAAGGGCTTCATACAGTCTGCTTGCTGAGAGAAGGTGCCTTGATGAAATCCTGTGTCAGCCTCATGCTCCCTGCTTGAGAACAGTCCCGAACAGTCCCACGCTCTGCGGGCTCAGGCGGCCTCCTCTGAAAGGGCTTTGGTCATTTCAGGAGAGAAAGCAAGGCCAAATGCTGGATGGGGAAATGCTGCTCCTGGTGACTGCATCCTCAGGCAGACAGACACAGTCACCATCATGTGTTCCAGGACCTCTCTAGGTTAAATTGGCTGCTCAGGACACACTGTAAAGTTGGAGCAAAGGAGCCAGGGTTGCTCATGCCAACCAGCTGTAGTGATGCCAGACCCCAGCACCGTGATGTTTCAGGGTATCATTAAGTTTTGGACCGGTGCCCAGGCCTTGTGTTCCTGATGGTGGGATCAAATGGGGTCCATGTCCATTCTTTGTGGGCCACTCTTGCTAGCCGCAGCGTGGACAGTGGCTTTTCTCTGTCACCCAGGGGCGATGTGTGCCTCCTGCTGCAGTTGCTATGTGGTCTGGGAGCCTCTGCCCATCTGGTCCCAATTAGCCACAAATGCTGTGTCATCCTGATGCATGTCTGAAATACGGAGTTATTTGTAACCGTGGATGGGAGGCAGCTGAGCAGACACCACTGTTCGGCATCTCGCAGAGGGCAGGGGGAGAACATCTCTTAAAGGAAGATGGGGAGGGCTGGAGATGAGATGGGCAGAGGGTGCAGAGTAATGGACTTGGGACCTTTTTTTTTTTTTTTTGAGGGACAGACAGGAGAGTAAAACTTAAAAGACTTGTAGAAACTAAGTCTCTTTATACCGTATGCTGGGGCCTCTTACCCGTGTTGATCAGCGTGTGGCTGTTTGAGGGACAGACAGGAGAGTAAAACTTAAAAGACTTGTAGAAACTAAGTCTCTTTATACCGTATGCTGGGGCCTCTTACCCGTGTTGATCAGCGTGTGGCTGCCTGTGCTGTACCTTCAGCGATGGTGGTGTTGAGGTGACAGTGCCCTCCTCTGGCAAAAGGAGAAATTGGAGGCTCGGGAGAGACAGTTCAAAGTGGGGACTGTGAAGGCAACTGCTCCTACAAACGCTCCTCTTACGAAGGTATGTTGGTGGCAGAGGTCTCTTTGGGATATTCAGAGCCCTGGCACGGGCTGTGGAAGCTGCAGTGCAGGAATTCTGCACTTGTAAGGGAGTGCTGCAGCTACAGAAAAAAGTTATCTGTTATGACAGCCATCAAGTAATGGACGCCAAGCCCTGCAGTAATGCTGAGTCCCTCACATTGAAGGTCCGAGAGAGCATTCATGGATTTTGACTCCTCAATGTTTCCATGTTGCAAAAATATTATATATATTCTTTTCGCTCTCTTTTGTTTCAGATCCTGTTTGACCAGGCTCAGAGGTCAGTCCGGCAGCAGCTGCACAATTTTGTGAAAGAGTGAGTATTTGTCTTATCAGCTTGGTCTTTAGCTTCTTGAACTTCCTTTGCATTTATCCTTTGTGCACTGGAAACAGAACTACAACCTCCACACAGCTGCTGAAGGCTCTGCTTGGAGCAGAAGAGACACTGAAGGGCAGAGGAAAAGATCCGGTTTGTGTCATGGCTGTTGCTGCCATCTTGCTACACTGTCATTTGATTGCTCTGTTGTCAACCAGCTGTCTTCATCCTGTTCCCATCTCATAGTTAAAACTGGACATGAGGCATACTTCCAGATCAGAGCATCATCCTGAGGTCTGGTAAAGTCCATCTGCAGAGCCCATCTTTGCTGCTTCTCACTGATGCTCTAGGTTAAATCTAGTTCAGATCCCTGCAGAGCAGGGCCAGCTCTACATCTTACATTATCTTAATGTTCCATGCAGAGTTTCATTCGTGGTTTAAACCAGTGCATGCTTGCAGAAGGGAGGAACTTTGCTGCCAAATGACTCTGGGGTCCAGCAGAATCAGTGTGTTCTTAGCTCCCCACACAACATGCTTCGTCACTCAAAATTACAGCAGCCCTGCTCTTCTGGGGTAACCTGAGCATCTCTCTGGAAGATGAGACTTACAGACAGAAGGGCCATTCTTGTGTGGAGGGAGCAGCTAATCATCGCTGTGCCTTCAGCTTGGAGCCTGACCACTGGTTCAGAGTTCTTTGCTAATGGAAAGCAAGTTTACAATGCCCTGGTGTGAGCAATGCAGAATGTTGCATATTAAGGATGGTAGCTTGCACACGGCAGGCCTGAGGTGCAGAAGGACTGGGCCCAGGAGGTTAGTTGAATAGGGACAGTCTCTCAGCAGGCTGTCCCTGCCATTGCTGCATTAACACCTTTCCTCTGAGCGCCTCTTTTCCCCAGGGCAGGTACCTAGCGCAGCACGGGATCCCGAGTCAGTGCAATATAGGTCAGAGAGGCAACTGAGGCCTTCAGCTAAGCGGGAGCTGGTTGCCATGGGAACTGGTAATTGCCTGTGAATCCCTCAGCAGCTGTGTGGTGTGATGGAGGGAGGGGGTCCCCAGCTGACCCCCCCTTTCCTCATCCCCATCTTCTTGCCTGGCACTCACCCTACCCCCACTTTCTCTATAATCATTTCTCTGATGAGCTCAGATTTAATCTGCTTAAGGCTGGCAGTCGGAAAGGGGAATTTCACCTTCATTTTGGGTCTGTCGTCCTGTCAGCATCTTTGCAACTTACTCTTTTTTGCACTTGTACTGCTCAACCTCTGCACTTGCAGGCCCTGGTGCTTTGATCTTTGCATTGCTCCTGCTCTTGGTTGGAAGATAATTTCTATGATCGGGGACATTTTGAACAATCCAGCTAGGGCCAATCTGCAACTCCCTGGCTGACTGGGAACCAAGGAACAATGGGGACTGTGCCCTTGCATTCAGACATATCTGAGAGGGCAATATTTATCCTCTAACCTGCCCTCCCTGTCCCCAAGCCCAGAAGGTCTTTGCCTGGTTTATTTGTGGTACACACAGGAGAGGTCAGCTTGCCCTGCCTGTGCTGTCAGTAGCCAAACCTTCTGTGACTGCCTTAGCATGTTACCAAGCCACAGACCTTGCTGAGTAGGAGGGTTTTATTAGCTAAGGCTTGAGGTTGCAGTCATGCTGCTGCAGGCTGGCTTAGAGCTAGCTGAGAATTTCCAGCAGTATCACATGCCTCCGAACTCCTGCTGCTTTCCATTGGGGATATGCATAGATGAGGAAGCCATTCTCTCCAAAGCTGGATCAAAAGCTATGTAAAATCCCCACAGCCCTTTGCTGCAAGTGACCCAAAAATGCAAAAAGTGACCCTGTTATTTTCCTGTGAATGGAGCTAGGTGGCCATGTAACTCAGCAGCCCGGAGCATTGAGGGCAACCGTAAAAAAGCAACAACCACCAGAACAGTAATCCAATCACCTCTATTTTCTTTTATCCGTACTGTACCTCCCCATGGTAGACTCTCTTGGCCAGAGGCTTATCCACCCATAAGTATATGCAACTTCAAACAGTTTGCCACAGGGCAGAGTTCAGCATTTACTGCCTGTCATGTTCAACTGAGGCTCTTCATCTTCCCTAGGGCAAAAAATAAGTGGATGCTACTTATTTACTAACAGTTTTTAACTACTTTAAGTTATAACAATTTATACTTGAGGTAAATGGAGCTCCTCTGGATGGAAAATAAGTGTTTGTGTTGCAGCTGCTGTAAATCAGCATTGCTACTTTCAACTCCTGAGGAACCAGGGCTACTTGTAAGAGCTGATCTTCAGGTATTGCTGTCCTCACTTCTTTGTGATCATACAACTCAAATCAAGTCCTGCCTGAATGGTACCTATTAGTTAATTAAAAAAACAACCAAACAAACTTAAAAAATCCTGCCTGTTGCTATGCCTTTATAGCCTCCCCCCTGCCCATGCAAAGCAGACCCCTGATCCCATGTAAGGTCTCTGGGCATAAATAAAACTTTGAAAGTTCCTGTTGTGGACTGCGTATTTCTGAATGCAAATGTTAATAAATGTGCCTGTTATAAAAGGGGAAAAAATAGTTAAATGTCTGGATTTTACAGTCAGACAAGACAGAATCAGCTAGAGATGCACATGAATGGCCTGGCTGCCCTAGCTGAATGCCCTGTCCTGAATTTGAAAAGTAGCTGGTTTTACTCTTCACAAAATGGAATACAAAGCATGTGTTTTCACAGGTAGGCTCTGAAATGTTCTGTTCGCCATTTACTTTGAGGGCAATTGTGGACTATCTTTAGGGCTGGATGCCATCTGGCCTGGCTTTCTGGATGCTGTCCTTGGAGAATTTCCTTAAGGCTTTGAAGGCAGTATGTAAGGTCCAATATCTTTCCTTGCCAACTGTCTCTAAAGAAAGACCGTCTAGAGTTAATCTGGAGTCAGTCCAGCTGGACACAGCGGAGCTTGGTGGGGTGGGTTAGATCCCAATGGCATCTGGAGCAGGATCTCTGAGTTATCCTAGTGTACCTGGTTGCACGTCTCCCTGCTCTGCTGCTATCAGCAATATTCTGGCTGCTTTGTAACAATCGCATCTTCTTTGGGTTCCAGTGACGTCCGGAAGTTCAAGGAAACCAAGAAGCAGTTTGACAAGGTGCGAGAGGACATGGAGATTTCGCTGGTGAAGAATGCCCAGGCACCTCGGCACAAGCCCCATGAAGTGGAGGAAGCAACAGGCACCTTGACCATAACCAGAAAGTGTTTCCGACATCTGGCCCTAGACTATGTGCTACAGGTTGGTGTCTGTGCCCCCAGCTCTGACTGGATTTCCCAGTACAGAGCAAGACATCACAGGCAAATTACTAAATAATCTACTGTAGGGAATGAAGATGAGGGATGAGAGAGGGCAAGTAGGGTCTTACAACTGGGTTCAAAAGAGTACTGGATTACTAATCCATTGGACGTTTTTCCCTGAGGCAGGGAATCCTTAGGACTGGTGTGTGATGGAGCATGAAACCACCAAGGTTTGCTCTAGTTCCAGGCACTGGTGTAGTTGTACCACTATGAACCCATGTATGGCTTAGCAAAGCCCTGTACTGCAGTAGGTGCCAGCGTTCTCTGAGCTGCCTTTTGACATAATCCAGCCTGTCTGTATGAAAGAGTAGGCTGTGCTGGGATGAGAGGACCTTCACTGGTGGGGCTGTGAGTTCTGTAGCTGATCGCATCTGCTTGAAGTAGTCACAAGATGTTGGTATAAGTGGTGTAAGAGAGAGGAGGCTTTTCCCCAAATCCTTAGCTGCTTTGATCTTTATAACTCTCCAGAGAGTCTGGCAAAACAGTGTAATGAAACTACTGAAAGTGAGGGACCGAGCACAGCACTGTCAAGTGCACTCACTGCACCCAGAATGGTGAAGGATTTTCCTTTGCATCATTCGTAGGCTTCGTGTCAAGTCTGTCCTTTCAGGCAGTGGGTATATTAAGCAGACAAATTCAGTGTTAATATTGATCCATGTGTGTCTCCACTAGCTGTCACTCCTGCAGCACCAAACTGGGACCATCTGCCAACACGTTCTGTCTGATCATGAGGTAGTCTCTGATGTCACATGCTCTGGCAGCTGCAGATAGAAAGGCAATGCTTTCCCCTTAAAGTATAAATTATGCATATCATTGGCCCTCCTTTAGGATTGCAATTTTTTGCACCTAGGATTTTAGATATGAATGCAACTGTATTTGCTGGCAAGGTCACACTATAGTAAGGTCTCTCCATTTCTCGCACTGACAGAGAGGAAGAGTTGCTTTAATGTGCTGGTCCAATATTGGGCAAGTTTCCCTGTTGGTCCACTGCAAGGTACCAGTCTAAATCCATCAGTTTTGAAATGCATAGACATGAACTTGTCCAGGCACCCTTTGGTATTTAACTAAGGATATAGTGAGGAGAGTTATTTCATTCTTTTATATCTGAAAGGAGATCTTTTCCTGCCCCTGAATGTCCACACAACTGAAGGGCACCCCCTCATAATGAATTACTGCAATTAGGATATTGTTTTAAGTTAAGCTCTCCCACCACAAATCCCAACTGAGATACCTGGGAAAAGGGACAACTTGGCTCACAGCAAAAATCAAGTCCCAGAATTTGCCATGGTGGAATCAGCTATAGAGGACACTGTATTGGCAGAAAAGTCCCGGTTGGTGCTCATGCAAAGGCTAGATGCAGAAAATCTTCCAACCAGCATCCTCTGTTTTCTCTCCAGCCTCCAGAGAGACAGACCCTGTTTTGTGAATCTGTTTCACCTTTCACATCTTGCAGAACTCATCTTCATCATTTTTGACTTTGTCAACAGGCCTGAAATTGGCACAGTCAAACTTTAAGGATTACTTGCACACCTTGAAGAGAGCCAAAAGGACCAGGACCCAGTAAAACACAGTTCAGAGCAAGACTTTTCACTGTAATGTAACACATTTCCATTATGATAGTGGCTGTTTTATGGCTATAAATGGCCAGGAGGAGTTACTGCTGTGGAGTGAAACTGCCTGTTGGTATAAAGCAGGGTTACTGGTTCCAGTCCTTTTTTTTTTTTTTCTTTTTTTTTTTACCTAGTATACGGGGTGTGGAAAGGGGGCATCTAGGCGCCATTATGATAGTGGCTGTTTTATGGCTATAAATGGCCAGGAGGGGAGGAGTTAGTGGAGTGAAACTGCCTGTTGGTATAAAGCAGGGTTACTGGTTCCAGTCCTTTTTTTTTTTTTCTTTTTTTTTTTACCTAGTATACTGGGTGTGGAAAGGAGGGATCTAGGAGGCTGGGGATGTACCTGAACTACTTTGTCTCTCCTCCCGCGTTGCTGGAGCTGATGACCAGGTTGCTTAGTACAGAATCAGGAGGCTGATCGTGGCGTGCCTCGCAGAGACTGTTCCAGGCAGAACTGTGGCAGGTCCCAGCACGCTGCCCTTTAGTAACTTTTATCTATGTTTAGGTTCAGTTACTGCAAGCATAGTGCTTCTAAGCAAACTGATGCTGCATTTATGAGTTATTAACACACTGGAACCAATTGTGTCATGGTAACACATTATTCGTGACACTGACAGCTGAACGTGCTGTAACTGTGCAATTGCATGGAGTAGGGGTTAGCACTCCCTTTCCCAGTGGCATAAGACAATACTGGAGAGAGAGAAAGAAAGAATCAGGGCATAGCACCTTGCTGCATTGTGCCCAAGGTTTTATGGTAGGGATTTCAGGTGGGACTTTTCTGATCAAAGATGCAGGCAGTGAACTGTGAGGTGTCAAAGACGACCTTCTGCAACCACTCTGCTAAGCGAGGAATGGCCAGGCTCTCCTATCCTCACAGTAAATGCTCCAGACTGGTTCTTTTGCAGTAGCAGGGTGCCTTTCCAAAGCAATGCTATCTTGCTGTTACAAGAGGTACTGCAGTTCTTCCCTGGCCAGGAAAGAGGTGTAAGCCTGAATGTGCTGCCTCTTCTTCCACCCCAAGAGCCCAAGCACATCAGGGCTGGCACAGGAAACCCTGAGCTACTGCTGCTTCTGTGGGGAAGGGACGTGACGGTCCCTGGGGCAGTCACCCATGCACTTTTCTCCAAGAAAAATGCATGTGCAAAGGGTGTGCACACTGAGAACATAGTCCTCTCCGAGGTACCACGATTTACTGGCTGGCTTCACTATGATTACTGAAAAAACCCATAACATTACACAGGTACCCCTCAGCCTGCTAAGAGAAATCAAAGCAGTGACCTGATAGATTAAACATCTCCTTCATGTGATACCAAATTGCACTCTGGGGTCACTGTTTGTTGTCAGCCTATGTACAGACATACACCTAGCAGTGACCTTAATCAGTAGCAGCCCAGGTCAGAAAATGCATCTATGCTGTTTCCCTTTTTATTCCACTTGGAACTCACCAGAACTGTCTTTTCAGAAACTAATTTTCTGGAACTGTCCTTGAATAATTTGTGGCTTGCTGCTAGGAGTATTGCAGCAAGTTGTTCATACTTAGATCTCCATGCCCAACTGCTTAATGCTGCTAATGTTGAGAGTCTTATCTTGATTCCTTCACAGATCAACGTCCTACAGGCCAAGAAGAAGTTTGAAATACTGGATGCGGTAAGGGCTCTCTGTTTTCTGTGGCTGCTCTCAGTGACTCAATGAAAGGCAGCCCTCTCCATTTCAGGTTGCATGGGTCGACATACCGACTCCTCGGTCTGCCCTGGAGATACTGTCTGGGACTGCTCTGGGGGCTGCAGGTATGCTAACGAGAGGGGAGAATGAAGGACCAGCAAGACACTCCACAGGCCAGAACTAGAGGGGACTTTCAGGGGTGAAGGAGAGACTGCTTTTACTGCTTTGTGCTTACAACAGGGGTTGCCTGACAGTGTGCAAGGATTTTGTGAGAGGAAGAAAGGAGAAGAGTGAGAGGCATCTAATGGATAGATTGCTTTGGGAAGGGAAAGGGTTAGACCTTGAAGAGACTTGTTTGTGGGTAATAAGGGATAAGGATTTTTCAGACTCACTTTGTCCCAGAACCTGTTCTGACCTTGCTATTGTTTCCTTCCCCAGATGCTGTCCTTCATGCATGCCCAGTACACCTTCTTCCAGCAGGGCTACAGTCTTCTCCATGAACTGGATCCCTACATGAAGAAACTAGCCACAGAGGTGAGGGGACAGGGAATATAGTTGACTCAATTTGCCTGTTTGTACGCCTTCACCCTGAAGGGACATCCTCTCCCCTGTTCAGCTACCATACCTGGTAATCAGGGAGTGGCCAGAGCATCATGCATGTCGGGTGTTCGGTAAGCCATGCTGCACTATGGGGTGACAGCCAAAGGCTATGCTTACTTTCAGTGCACACCCAAACACAGTGTCTTGCGGGGACTCCTTGTGTTAGGTAGGGCTGGTGTAATCCCAGAGAAGGGAAGCAGAGATGGACAGTGGCTCATAAACCTCCTTCCTGACTTTTATACCCCGTGTTCTCCTCCCTGCCTTTAGCTGGACCAGCTGGTGATTGATTCTGCAGTGGAGAAGAGGGAGATGGAGCACAAGCATGCGCTGATACAGCAGAGGGTGAGTCCTGGGGCTGCAGCTTGGTGCAAGCAGCACTTCTCTCCATCACTGCGGTTGTCTGGATCACACAGTGGCAACTGCTATCTGATGCGGGGCCTTTCTGGGTTAGTCCTTCACAGCCTGGAGCAGTAGCAGCAGAAAGTGTTGAGATGAGAGTAATAACCTTGTGGATGCTGGGAGGTCTAGCTAGTAGGTAGGCCTGATCAAATGTGGGGCATTCAGCTACTGACACATCTGAGTACACAAGGGAGAGGGACACAGGGAGGACCCCATGGGTCAGGGCACCTGGGTGGTTTTCCCAGCTCTGCCTCTGAGCAAGCCTTCCTTCTGTGCTCTGCCTCCCTCCTTGCTATGGAGGATGTGGGAAGATTTAAAGGTTTGTGTTCCATAAATGGCTCTGAGATAGAGGAGTGGATGTAGTTGTTTGTAATTGCCTGTGAAAATGACTGCATAGCAGAGCTGCTTTTGGGGAGAGGTTAAACACTTTTCTCCTACTTTTTTTTCTTTTTTTGCGTGCACGCTCTCTCTTTTTGTTTCTTCCCCAGTCATAGCATCATAGAATTGTTTAGGTTGGAAAAGACCTTTAAGATCATCAAATCCAACTGTTAACCCAGCACTGCCGAGTGCAGCACTAAACCACGTCCCTAAAGTCTCACATCCTTCTTCTGGCTGAGCAACAAGCTAGCTTTTGTCCGGCAAGCCCCATGATCTCCAGCTACTGCAGTATTACTGCACTTCCCTTCTGACACTTCTCCCTGCCTTGCCCTGTGGTGAGGCAGCCCAGCCCTACCAGATGGCCAGAGTCCCTGTTAAATCATCCAGCAGACGAATGAGTGGATGCACTCCTCTGGTACCCATAGACAGGACTTGCTGCAGGGCCTTTTTGTTGTTCATAGGGAACTAACACTGTACTGAAGTGATGTTAATGGGTTGTGGGGGAGAGTGAGCAGGACTCTGTACTGCTATTGAGAGAGGAGTGTGCTGCTGTGAACTTCTTTCATGCTCCAAACTGCAGGTCAGATGATTCGTGCTTAGCTCCTGTGACATGACATGGCTACAGCCTTGAGCAGCATAACGTTGGAGAGGCCCAGGGGGACCCAAGTAATAGAGCTGCCATGGCTGAGCAAGCTGTTGTTTTCAGCTGAGCTATGGTAACCCACTATGTGTGTGTGCTGTTGCCTGCTGTAATTGGGTGTAACCACCATGAACTGGCAAGATAATAGGATTTATTATCAGACAAGTCTGAGCCTTCAGTAGGGAGGCATCTTTGGTTAACGTGGGCTCTGATTTTCCAGACCATTCATCTGGGAATGATTACAAATCCGAAGCTTGTAGAAATATCAACTAATTTTTTTTTTTTCTTTTCCTTCTCTTCTTCATGGATTACTGACCTGCCCCTGCAGACTCTCCTGCAGGTGAGTACCCACGTGTATGTCCTTCTTCTGGCATCTTGTTTGCTCAGAATTAGCACTTTGGTGCTCTGGATGTTTACTAAGTTCTGCCTTTGACAGCAAGGCAAAGAAACCTTGCCGAGGCATTAGTGCTGTAACTTGAACACTGGAGATGTGATTTTAATTCCCAGCTTCAAGTGAGTTTGGTTTCATCCTCATCAAAGTTGTTTTCAGTCCTGTGCTAAAATAAGATTTTGCTTCCCTCTACCCTGTATGGTGGTCAGTCTTGACTCGGAGTTCAGTATTGCAGTGGCGGCAGCACTTGGCTGGCACTTAATGCATCTCTGGTGCCTAGGAGCCTTTGAGGACCACGGGTCTGGTGGGAGGGGAATTGGCTGCACAGGCTCATAGCAGAGGGTGTTGGTGGACTCTCACACACACACACTCTCACACACACACTCTCACGCTGTCTGGGTGCAGTAAGAGGGGATTTCAGAGAGCCCTGAGAAATACCTGTTCATGAACCAAGCCCTGAGGAGGAATCGCTAAGGAGTCCGTATCTGGCAGGCACTTGTGTGGATCAATACTCCTCAACAGGAGGAATCTAAGTGGTCGTCATTTTCTTTCTAATGCTGTCTCTCAAAAATGTCATAACCCGTGAAATGGAAACATAACCAGGTTTGAAAGCTAATGACAGACATTCCCTGTGAATCAGCCTGTGCATATGCTCCCTTTGGTTAAGTGTTCTGAGGGAGGGGTAAATCCATTTGTGAACTCTTCAGTTCCCCTGGGATTCTGCTGGAGTGATGACTTCATTCAAGAGAACGTGGAAAACCTCTCTAGTGCAGTGCATATCAGTTAAATCTCTTTACGTGGCTTTGCTGACTGGACTAGCAGGGAATGAAGCAGAGGTCAGGTTCCAAGAGGGAGAGCGAGCAATTACTCTTCATCAGGACACATATGCATAGAGCTGTGGCTCTCTGTGTGCATAAGCTTGTAAGAGAGCTGAACATCCCTGCTGCAACTTAGGATTTAAAGCTTCCTGCCTGGAGATGTTATGAGACTGCTTTTCAGCTACTCTGAGTCGGTGTTGCTCCTCCCTTTGCAATGGAGGATGGCACTCTGCGTCTGGTGAGCATCTTGCTGTCTCCAAAGGGAGCACAGCACATTGAATATATGTCTTCATGCTCAGCCCAGAATACCCTCTGGTCTCTTGAAAAATTTGGAGCTTAATTAGAGAGGAGTGGCAGAAGTATCCTTATTTCCTCAACACGGTGTCTTCCCAAACAGCCTGCTAAGGCATGACAGAAAGGGAGGGAATCCAGTTTAAATAATACATTTTGAAGTTGGGATAGGGGAGCTGTGCAGATTCAGAAGATAGGGCCTTGCTCATTGAATGGTCTTTGGGCAGCTTTGTGAGGTGTGGAGGGCAGCCTTCTACGAGCCAAGTTCATAAGGAAGTGGTGTGTGGCGTTTTGTTTCATTATTGTTTTAATTAAAATAAATTTGGTAGGAGAGAAAAACTCAGCACAAATCTTGACTATTTTCTTTGATACTGGAATTCGGGTGCCTTTTTCCTATGCCACCCTTTCCCCATCTGCCACCTTTGGGGTAGATTCCTGGGGCAGCTATCATTTCAAGCTGTCATTTTAACCACTGCCCTCTCTGCCTCCCCAGCTCCAAAACCTTAAAGAGCTCCATCTGCAGCTTCACACTTCATATGAAGATAATGCTCACTTATACAAAAAGGGTTCCAATAAAATCAGCAAGAGTTAAGGAAAAGTCTCAATTTTTATGGGCTACAATAAATATTTGAGTTATCCTCCTGTTGTGCAAAGAGAGAGGAGAGCTTCAGCACGAAGGCTGGGGGTGCCTTTCTTCTGACTGTGTGTAGGACGCATGTGTGCAAGGACTGCAGTATGGAATCCATTTCTGCAAACGCTGAGGAGATAGTCTTGTAGCTTCCCACATTTCTCGTGTGTTGAACTAAACTGTCTTAAACCACACATGTAATGAGTTTGTATGGTTTTATGTGGGCTCAGTTGTTTCAGGTGGATGCACGAAGACACACAGGGCCTGGGGTAGTTGGACCACTTAGGAGAAAAATTTTGGAGAACTTAGCACTGGAACGCACAGCCCTAGGAATTTTTTCCAAGGGGAAATGAGGACAGAAATGGTAATGTTTAAACCAGTCCACCCTTGCAGATACTGACCTTCCTGAATCCTTCCACTGCACCAAAACTGACAGGCCAGTCTCTGGAAGTGAAAGAATACAGGGCTACGTACAGGTTGAAGCCTCAGCCTATTTCCCGGTCCGGATAGTGCGGGAAGCAATTGTGCTTCAGTTGCCTCTTTGCAGGGAAGGGAGGATGGAGTGCCAAGGCAGAGCTCTCTGCCTCATTTAGCCCAGCTGGTAGATAACAAACCAGGGGCCATATGGCACTTCAGCCCCCTGATTTCTGGGGCTGCAGTGGAGCAGGGGTGGAATTACTGGCCAAAGGGTGGCTCTGCTCCAGTGAGCTGGGGAAGGCAGACAAGCCTGGCTCTGTTAAGGTCAGGGAAGCATTCGGTGAGCATCTTCCTGTCAACTTTGCTGTGCGTTGCCTGGCTTCTCCCACTCCCTTCTGTGCCTCCCTGACAGCTGTATGAAAATTAGCCCTTGCTCTAAGCTGATTGACTGTGAATAGGAGGCAGGAGGAGGGGGTAAGCAGGTGGTCCCCAGAGGCCAGCAGGCTTCCTTCGCCTAGTGCCCCTTGCTTTGACAGGAGCCAACGGCAGAGCTTGGAGCTACCCAAAAAGGAGTAGGAGGGGTAAAGGAGAAGGGGCTGAAAAAGAAATCCCTCCTTCCCTGCCAGCCCACGGTGCTTAGCAGAGATGCTACTCTAGAGAGCGAACAGAGAGAGAGAGAGAGAGGACACGCCGAGCTGCTCCCTGCTCTCTAGGCAAGAGCAGCAAAACCTCCCTTGCAGCTGGCATCATGAAGATTTTCAGCAGGCTTGAATACCTCCTGGTAAGGAGACTCCTGCAGGGTTGGTTTGACTTGGGGAGAAAGTTTAGAGGGCACTTTTCCCGGGGGGATCGAGGACCTTGCTTGCTGATGTGACCCAAAAGCAAGTACAGCTTTATTACTGCAGGAGAGCAAATGTGTTTGGTTCTGTTTCTGGGACGGAAAAGCTCTGGGGCAGGGCACAGATCTCTGTGCATCATCTGCTGGCAAGCTGTAGAGCAGGGAGATCATTTGGCATTAGGAAATCCAAGAAACAAAAGGTCTGTAAATGGGATTTGGCCGGAATGAATGAAAGCTGGCTGCACAGAAGGGGAATGTAGGTGGGGGAGCCCTCCTCCAAATTCCATCTGCCTCTGTGGGTCTTGGATTGTACACAGTATATACACAGAGGTAAAAATAACCAGATAGAGAAAAGGCTGAATTATATTCAGGCACCAGAAGAGAACAGAATGTGCATGCACCGGTGTGTGTGTGTGGAAGGGGTGTGCATGCATCTTTAGGGAATGTGAATTTTCCTCTGAATTATGTTCTCTTTAGAATCAAATAGCCAAACTAGTCACCTACAGCTTTTAACTCACCTCCAGGAGAAGTTCTTTTCAATGCATGGATGTATACCTAATGTTGCTAGTGTGTACATAATATTATTGTTAAATACTGAGCATCATTGGTTACTTAAGTAAAGAGGGCACTTTTGGATAAAGCCTTTGTCTTCTATGAGGGAAAGCATTTATCGCATGTGTTGCTGCTTATCCTAAATGGTACTGAAAATAACATGGAGGTTTGGTAGTAAGATATGTTTCTCTGAATATCTAAGAATACCTGGACTGAAACGATTCACTGGTCATGATTGCCTGGTTTTGATAGTGTTTTCTATCAGTAGAAATGAAAACATTGTACAGAAAAGGACAGTATCATTACTTCCACATTGAATTGATATACTGAGGGAGTAATGTTACGGCTTTTCAGGGAGGGCCATTGCCATCGTGATTGTATTTTAAAGACTTTTAAGGAAGTCTTGGTGTTTTAGAGAAAGGTTCTACCTGTTTTCAGCCAGGTGTTTTGCTCTTTGGGACAGGAACAAGCCTATAAACAAGACTTGCCTACTTCAGTGGGTATGCTCTTAGGCAGGGCTCCTTACTTAGAGGACTCCCCCTCCTAACTCCCCCAAGGATTCCAGGCTGATGAGGGGCCTCTTCACTCTCCATAGTAAGTCTGTTCACTGAAGCTGGAGGTTTATTTCATTTCATCCGCCATTTTCTCTGCATGAAAAGCTGGCTTCACAAGAGCAATTGGAAGAGCTCGCCTGGCCTCTCTGGCGCAAGCAGTCCCTGTGCATGCTGTGTGGAGATGGACAAGGGAGTTCTTAACCGAGTGGGCCATGAGGCAACCTTCAAATAGGGGGGGTTATTTTTTTTTTTCTTTTCCCTTTTTTCTTCTTTCACAGGTCTGTGCCTGTGCTGGGTTTTTACTTTCCATTTGCCGGTTTGAAAGTGTCTGCGTTAATGTCCTTTTTCACATCCCTATGGATGTGTCTCTTGGAATGTATTACCTCATTGTTGCTTCAGCAGCATTCAGTGTGCTCCCATGGAAACCATTGTGATGTCATTTCTGAAAGAATATCAGTTCCCAGGCAGCCTCATGTGTAAACTCGGAATGACAGGGCTGAGAAGGGGAGGGGACAGGGAGACAGGATTGGTGTGATTTACTGGAAGTCGGTGAAGGAAAGGGAAGCAGATGATCGCAGAGATCTGGTTTCTTATTTTGGAAGACATCTGATTTATTTTACCGATGTGTGATCCAACGTGTCACTGCTGTGCTGATCATAATTGCATATGGAGTTATAGCCAAAGCCATTCAGATCCCAATCCTAGGAAGCCTTTTCTGTGTCAAGCATTTTTTCATATCACAGAGACAATGAGGTGCTAAATGCAGACTTAATAAATCAGTCCAAACTCATGTAGAGCAGACTTGCCTACTCCGTGTACATTGCAATGATGGGAAGAATTTGGTAAAAGGTAGTTTATTAAAATCATGCATTAAAATCTCACGTATAGCAGGAAATGGAGAAAGAGGGGACAAGCGAAAGCATACGTGTGCACTCTCTTACCCTGCTTTGTCAAGGGTAAGATTTGAATCAAGAAAGTTACTTTGAATGTTGCACAATGGGTGACACGTTCCTTCCCCACCAGCACCTCCCAGACATCGCGGCTTGGCTTCCAAGGTTGGAAGGTTTTATTTGCGAGTTCTGTGCGGAGTCAGACAGTCCACAGATGTGCTGCATCCCTTGTAAGCGTCAGAGACTTACTGATGGCATAGTTGATGTGCTTAGCAGGAGCTGTGTCCCTCAGCCAGGACCCTTCAACTGATTTCCCAGAGCTAACAGGATCAAAATCTTTTTGTGTCAACGAATAGAATAGATACGGGGACACATTAAGGGCAGGTCTGCCAGTTAAGGGGATTCATTGTCACACACCTGTGTATCCAGCTGTGGCCACATGCTACCATGATGTTCCAGCACCATTGGCAGGATGATCTCCTCAGACAGCTTCTAAGCTAGCTTTGACCTGGAATCAGGTTTCAACAGATGTTCTTGTAACTCTTTTTCCAGAAATTTGTCCTCTCTTTTCAATGGCTGTGGTAAGAAAGTTCCCTGTATGGGCTACAGCCAGAAGATATGCCTAGGAATCCATTGTTTAAGCCCATAGTTTAAGCTCGCTCTAGTGTGCTGGAAGTTTCACAATTGCTCTTGCCATGATTTTGCCTTTCAGCTACCCAAGCTATTTCTGTACATTTCCCTTTTGGCCTTTTCCTGGCAGTGAAAGGAAAAATGGTACCGATCAAGGGGATAATTTCTGGATTTTTTTTCTGCCTCCGCTTTCCCTTACTTGGTTTGTCTCTCAACAGTCTCAATAACTTTGTAGCAAAGACTTCAGGTGCTTCCAAGCAGAGTGCAATGGCACGGAACAAAGCTCCCCTGAGGATCAGACTGCCCTGGGGCTGAGAGGCAGACGGGTCCTTATCCCTCAGATCTCTCCCTTGATTTATACAAATCCAGCTTACAGCTCTGGTCAACCTATTCTGCCTCAGCTGCCCTGCAGTAGTTCTGTTGATAGCAGTGGAGCTGCTCAGGAATTACACCAGCAGAAATATGAGCAGAATTTGGCCTGGGGATGTTTCCTAACCAACGAGAGAACAAGGAGGAGAAGTATCTTCAAATTAATGCAAACACAAGCCATTCTTCTCAGCAACGTGTTTCTATGTTTGGACATCATCCAGATGGCTCTCTGTAGTCTTAGCTGCACATGTACTTGGTGGTTTTTGTATAATTTTCTCTTTCTAAAATGGGGCTTGGTGCAGGTTGGAGTTCTTTCAAAGGCCAGGAACAACTCCATGTGCCTTCAGCTCTTCTGCTTTAGCCATTCAATTTGTAGAGAGGTGTAATACAATACAGACTCAATGGGGTTAAATTCACACCTGGCTTGACTCCACTGGTTTTTACTGGATTTACTCTAGTGACGCATATGGCCCATCTGTTCCTCCTGCACTCATCAGCAATATATCCTTCTTACCATCACACTGCTTGGTTGTATAAGGACAGCTGAAGAAACCTGGTAATTATATTTAGACCTTCCCCCTTACTTTTACCTCTTCCACAAAGTGAGGCACAGCTAAGTGGTCATTTTTAAGATGTGCTTGGAAGGGTTTTGTCCTACACTTGCTGTGCACTTTTCAACAAGGTCTAGATTTTTGGATGTTTGCATTATTTATTATAAAACAGTGCAGATCCTCATCAGATTTATAGAGTTGTCACTTTGGAGCAGCTGTACAAAAATCACGCATTCAAATACCTATGCGTTAGAGGAAAATTCCCTCTAGCCTTTGTTTGCAATATGTACATGAAAGACATCTGCAGAGGAGGACCCCCATGGGATTCATCCTCTTATGGCAAGAAAATTTGGGGCTAAGCAGACCTCTCTTAATTGCATGCCTTACAGCAGTTTCTAGTGTCTAATTGGGCATCATGCTGTCTTTCCAAGGAATGACTCAGTCCTGTCCCATTAGATCTCCTCCTTCGGTATCGGTATTATTCTTATTATGACACCTCCCAGGCAAGCTTGCATCTCTGAACATGAAAATAACTCATCTTAATGAGAGTGAAGTGCATGTTGCCTAGCAACACAGCATCACAAGGGTCTTCATATGCTGAGCTAGGAAAGGCACTTCACTTAATGGGGCTGTTTTCACTGCACTGTTGTGTCTTTGAACCAAGTAGTACGGGGGAAATATTTGCGCTCGAGAGAGGGAGGTGTGGGTAGAATGCATCATTAGAGTGGAATCAGTGCAAAGAGACGATGTGCCTTGGTTCCCCAGGTTAGAGGGAAAGTCATTTAGGTTCCATGACCTGGTTTCTCTTGGGAAGGAGGCAGACCATTGCCCAGGGAGAAGGGTCCCATGTTCTGTGAGAGCAGCTGCTATTCTCTCTGCTCTGTGTCTTGCTCACCAGCTGTCAGAATCCATGAGATCTATCTGATGAACCAGTGCCAAACCTGACAAATCATCTCTGACTGGTAGCATAGCATAGAGAATTGAGTGAGCGCAGATTGGAGATGGCATATGATGATAGCTAATGAAAATGGAATTGATAAGTCTTGCCTTCTAGAAATCATCATGCCTGTTTTCCTTGCGTGAAAAGGCTGGGGTTTGTTCTGTTCCTGGCCCCCTGCAGAACAGAGAGGTGGCAGCAGCATCGCTAACTCACTTGGCCAGTGAAAAGCACCTCTATTGCTTTATTTCCCATTGCAGACTGCCCCAAATATTGGGAATTTTTATCCCTCATGATGATAAGCTACCTGTCTTTCTCCTTATCAGCTACCACAGTGGAGAAATACAGCGTGTATAGTACTTTCCTGCAAACAATAGCTTACTGGAATGAGGATAATTCATGACTGCTATTCATGGCTGAAGCCCACTAAGGCATAGGAATATGCTGTGACAGACAGCTCTGCCTGAACCTTAGGATTTTGACATAGATGTTTTTCTCTTCTTGCTGTTTTGATTAGGCTCATCTCCATCTTGGTCCTGGAGAGTGCAGGCTCAGTTAGAGTCTCAGCCTCTTTCTATTTGCAGGACTTCTCCTATGATGACTCGAAGGTGGAGTTTAATGTTGATGCCCCGAATGGAGTGGTGATGGAAGGCTACCTCTTCAAGAGAGCTAGCAATGCTTTCAAAACGTGGAATCGGTGAGTAATAACTCATATTCCATTTGGTATTTGGGCTAAGACTCTGAACACAGCTAATACTGCCTGCACAGGAACCCACTTCACTTTTAGTGAGATCTTAGCAACTGTTATCATCACTGGAAGGATTCTGAGATAAGTAGTTAAAAGTGAGATAGTTAAAATGAGGTCGGTTTGATAGTTTCTGCATACAGAGACTTTTCTTTTAGGAGCATTTTGTGGGTGGGTTGAGGGAGGTGATCCTTGCTCTGTATTCAGCACTGGTGAGGCCACATCTGGAGTACTGTGTCCTGTTCTGGGCTCCCCAGCACAAGAAAGGTATGGACTTACTGGAGGGGTTCCATTGAAGGGCCACAAAGATGATTAAGGGGCTGGAACATCTCTCATATGAGGAAAGGCTGAGAGAGCTGGAACTGTTCAGCCTGGAAAAGAGAAGGCTTGGGGAGGGATCTTATCAATGTGTACAAATTCCTGATGGGAGGGAATGAAGAAGAGAGCCAGACTTCTCAGCAGCGCCCAGTGACAGGACAAGAGGCAATGGGCACATATTAAAAAGTGACATTTCATCTGGAGACAAGAAACAGCTTTTTTGCTGTGAGGATGGTCAGGCAGTGGAGCAGGTTGCCCAGAGAGGTTGTGGAGATATTAAAAAACCACCTGGGCACAGTCCTGGGCAACCTGCTCTAGCTGGCCCTGCTTGAGCAGGAGAGTTGGATGAGATGATCTGAAGAGATCCCTTTCAACCAAAGTGACTCTGTGATTCTGCTCAGAACCTGTCAGCTGCAAGTAATATCAGAACCTGAAGCCACGTTAGCATAACCGCATCTGAGTAAGTCCTCCCGAGAGAATCAGTATCTCAAGAGATTGGTGTAGCCTTATCAACACATTAACCTGGCTATGTGGCGCCAAGTCAGCTCGGAGCAAAAGAGGAGTAAGCATCTGCTGCATTGCAGTGGTGTTTTAAGACCACATACATTTTCTACCAGCACGTTATAACTCATGTGCTGAGCTTGCAAAGCCACTTGCTTTGCAGGTCTTTGATATTGGTGTGTTGGAGACATGTATATTAATCAGTAAAAGAGCTAGATGCTTGTAGTTTATCTAAGTGATTATTATTTTCCTGTTCAAAAAGAAGTACGCTTCTTTCTGTGAAGCTGTATATTCCTCTTAGGCTGCATCATGGAATGAGCCAGCTCATGCTTTGCTGCATCTTAGTAAATGCCAGGAAAAAAAGGGAGTGCCTTCCACAATGGAGGAATGACCAGGTTCCATGCAGGGAAGACAGGGTGCAATGCAGCTCGAGTCTTGCCCTAGGAAAGCTGTAAATTTATAACCATTAAGAGAAATACCCTAACAACACAGCAGGACATGCCATGAGTATCAAACCTGTCTATTTTGGGACGGGGAGATATGCGAGAGTGGAAATATCAGCTGTGCTGCCAGGAGCTGAGAAATGGCTTTCTCTGCACTGACCCTGCTCTTAATGATTTATAAATATTTCATCTGATAGGTCACTGGGAATGCCGGGCTCATATGCCTCCTGCACGAGTCGGGAGTCTCTGCAGCTGCCAGAGACCTTGGGAAAGTGGAAGCAAAGGTTTCATGTTCTAGCCTTGCTCGATATTTGTGTGTTTAGTTTCCCTTGAGATAGTCAATAGGTTTCATACATGGTTGTGCAAAAGGATTCAAACCCTTTCAGTGAGTTTCTAATGCATGAGATCAATGCCTTTTTGACGTACATTTCCTCCTCACATTACAGGGAAGTGATACAATATTAAGAGATCTTTTACATGGCTATGGGATACATTCAAAGTATACATCACAGCAAGGCTGAAATGCGCTGTTAGACTTTGGAATAAATAAACGCTAAATGGTTCAGTGAACAGTTTGTGATATGCACAGAAACTGCCCGTATTTGCACGGAAAAAAGACTTGAAATTGTTAGAGATCTCTGAATTGGTTAGGTAAGTGATTCCTTCGCACTGAAGCTTCCCCTAGTACTAAGGAGATTCCAGTCAAATGTAGTATAATTTTGTTACCCCTCAGGCTCTCTGGTACCCTGACAGTTAAGCACTAAGTTTGCACTTGGAGGAACCAGAAACCACAACAGCAGCTACAACCCAGTGCGTCAGGGTGTTAGACTGCAGTGCTCACCAGCTGTTGCACTGGGAAGGTCTCTCAGCTGCGTTTCTATCAGCCTTTTAGGATTTCCTGCTTGGTGGTTCCTAAGCAGAGCATAACCTCGGTCCGTAGCGTGGCTGCTTTCACTGACACCGCATGTTTTTGCAGAGCAGGAGGTCATTCCAAAGTGTGTCAGGTTAATGTCAAGGCCCGTGCTTGACTCTTGTGATAGAGAGGAGCGGTGCCAGGCAACTCCCTTCTCCTAGCAACTCCCCTGGCTGTGAATTCAAGGGTTGCTCCAAAGGGCACTTATCCTGGAGGGAGTGTGGCCTTCTGGGGCTTTCTGGTGTTCCTGATGTCTGAAGTAATGTTAGTGTCAAGGGCTCCAAGATTTCCCTGTCCCCCAAATCCCAGCTATCCTCCCTGTATCCTCCTACATCCCAGTCATACACAGTCTGCATCCTCCCCGCAGCCATCTCCTCAGTCCCACCCACTCTTAGCCATATCTGCCCGCATCTCAGCTATTCACAGCTCCTGTAGCCTACTCATCACCTTCTCACTGTCACTCAGCTGTTCACTGTTAGTGCCTCCCCCTCCTGTGAGCGGGAGGGGGCAGGCAGAGAGAACAGCAAAATCCACGGTTCGGGATATGGGGCTAGGAGCCAGCACCGGGCAGAAATGCATGCTCTGGGGCTGCAAGGGGCAGGAGCAGAGACCAAACCTGAGAGACAAACTTTCCGCTCAGCTTCATGTGACAGCAGAGCTCCATGAGCATAGACTGCTGCTGTCACAGCAGCTCAGAACGATGCAGAGCCATATCAGCTCATCAAAATGGGCTGCCACGTAGATGGGATGGCCTCCGGTTACCTGTATTTTCCCATTTCTCCACAGATATGTCAAGTCCTTTTGTTCTCTCTTATCTGTTTAATATTTCAGCAATGACAAAAGAAAGAGAATCCTGTCTCATCTCGTTTTCCCAGGGAACGTAGTTCTTTTGCAAACAGAGTATGTTTTAAATGCTCTAAAGAACATCTTGCTGCAAGCCTCTGATTCTTTATGCTCGGGTATTCCAGTACCTTCTTCCTGAAGCTGAGTGATGGTCATGGCTTCCATTGCCCTCCATGAAGATGATCAGGTTGCTAAATTTTAGGCTGTATCTTAGAATGAGGCAGTGACTTGGGGGTTTGGATTTAGCACCGAAGATTAAGACACCAGGGAATTACCTCTGCTGTCAGCATCACATGGACCTTCTGTCACTTGTGTTTTAAATGAAAGCTGCTAGCTGGTGATTTGTTGCCTCCTAAGAAGGTAGACCCCCTTCACACACACCTGCCCGTACTCTAGCCATAGGAAACAGGAGCTTTGACATTGTTTGGCCTCCCATAGGCTGTAGTGGGTACAGAGAAATCAGCCTGGTGGGTAGCATGGCCTATATAAACAGCAAGATGTGCAACTCATTTGTATTATTTTCTCCAACACTATTTGTAGAGCTGCCAGTTAGCAGGGTTTTCTGAGATGGATTTTTTTTTTCTTTTTCCCCCACCTGGAAGTTTCTTCATGATGTCAAGGAATTTCTGGCTTGCCTTATGACAGCCTGCTTGGAGAGGCAGCAGGCACACTGCGTCTGGCATGGCATGTGCAAGTAATCCAGCTTCCCCAGTAAATGTCCAGTATGCCTACTGTGCACATGTGCAAGTGTGCCCTAACCAGTGCAACATGTCCCACAGGCACTGGATTTACTACCTGCATCAGGGCCAGTGTGCCCACACAGACTTCTGCCCCAGAAATCGGGCAATAATATGGGACTGCCCTACTGCTTTGTTTCTTCCCGTCTTTCCTTCCTTCGTGCTATACATCGATGTATCTGGAACACTTGCCTCTCTATGCCAGGAGTCATTCTTGAAGGCTGTAAATCCTTTGTTTGTTCTGTGAGGGAGGGCACTGGACAAGTGCGAGCTTTTCTTGTGACATTACTTTCCAGCTTCTTGGAATAAATTGCACTCTTTTTAAATGAAGAGATATCCTGCTTTGCCACAGAACAAACTGCCTCTCTGTAGCTCTGCTGTTGACTTGTTCTCATGTCTGTCTGTCTGTCTTCCCTCAGGAGGTGGTTCTCCATACAGAACAGTCAGCTGGTGTACCAGAAAAAGCTAAAGGTCAGTGTGGCTACCCCAGATGACACTGGCAGATTAGCCAGCTTGTCTGGTATCCTGCTTTGCTGGGGACTGCTGCACCGTGGCGGGGGAGTGGGGAGGAGAGTTGGATCAGAGGGACAGCAAGCCCATTCAGGCATTATTGTGCTCCAAAGTTAGACTGTACTGAGAACTAAGTGGCAGCAGATGGCGTTTGTGGTGATCTAAATATTCCTGTTCAGCCGGGGCAGTCGGGACCGTCACCAGGCAGCCGTACAGTTT